CCTCGGAAGAGCCTCTGGAGGGCCCCGAGAAGGCTTGAGAGGGCCCCAGGAGGCACCTTCGAGTTGTTACTTCGAGCGCCCGTGAAAGTGGCCATTCCCAGGGCCCTCTTGAGGATATCTTGGGGGCCCTTCGGAGGCCATGCTGCTCCCAGGAACGAGATCGTGCACTAGCTTCCGCAGGCTCCTTGGGAGCGCAATCCCACGTTTCGACTGCGGGGACGAGTATTTGGGAAGATGGCACAACCTGGCGTTGCAAACGTTCGCTTGGCTCGCTCTCGCGCGGGCGCGCGCGAGCGAACCCATGCGAAACAAGATTTTTGTCAGACAGGATTTTGGTCATCGGTGTATACCAAAATCGGTGTATACTTGATTTTCCTTTGGGTTGGTGTCGGTTTTCAGTATGCACCAATCTTTTGGTTGGGGCGCGTATTCAATTTTTTCCACAGGCGACCTGCGTGGAAACAGCCGTCGTCAACGCCAGGACTGGCTCTCGCCCAGCCCCCGCCCCCTGGCAGGCTTGCAGGACTTTTGGGCAGGGACGCCTCCCCCTGCATTGGGCCCTCTGGAAGTTTTTGGGTGCTTCTCGGGGCCTTCCAGGGCCTCCTCGGGACCTCGGGAGAGCTTCCCTTCCGGATGGCCTGGAGAAGGCTTGAGAGGGCCCCAGGAGGCACCTTCGAGTGGTCACTTTCAGCGCCCGTGAAAGTGACGACTCCTGGGGCTCTCTTGAAGCCCTCTTGGGGCCTCTGTGGTGGCTTCTCGGGGGCCTCGGGAAGGCCTCAAAGGGGGGCCCAAGGGGTTCCGAGACATCACGATGTCTTTACACGCTTCGCTCGAACACTGATTGGGTTTTTCTCCGGTGTGAGTTGGAATAGAGGATGGGGGTGGAAAAGATTGTCCCTCGTGCGTGGGCGTCACTGTAGCAGTCGCTGTCCTTCGTGCGTGCAGAGGAGAGATGATAGCAAAAACTGCCCCTCGTGCGTGAGTGGGAATTGTAGCAAAAACGGTCCCTGGTGCACGAGGGGGCGTAACAAAAACCGTTCCTCGTGCACGAGGGGGGATTTTCAACTGAAAGGTGCCTCGCACACGAGGGAGGACTCGAGCGAAAGCGGTCTCTCGTGGATGATTGGGTGAGGTTGTAACACAAATTGTCCGCCGCGCGTGAGGGAGGACTGTGGCAAACGTTGTCTCTTGGTCGCGAGGGGCCTGCAGCAAAAATTGCTTCTGATTCGCGGTGGGGGAATTATGGGACAAGTGGACCCTCGTTCGTACATGAGGGTGTCTGTGGGTGGTCAGTTCGCCCTCTCTGTCAGGAGGTGGATTGTAGCAAACCTGCTCTTTGTACGCGGGTGGGATTGTACGAAAGACGTCTCCTCGTGCACAGGGTTTTAGATTGAAGCAAACACCGTTCCCAGTTCGGAGGATGGCAACAGCAGCTATTCGTACGTTGGGTGGGATTGCGACAACAACAACGCTTCCTTCATGCATGAATGGGAGTTTTAACAACAAACGTTGCGTTGTGTGCATGAGGGGGAGTATCGCAATGACGTTCCCTCGTGCGTGACTGGGCGCTGAAGCAAAAGCACCGCCCTCGTGCATGAGGGGGGATTCTAGCAAAACGCTCATGAGGCGGACGTGTAGCAACAGCGCCCCCCTCGTGCATGAGGGGGGATTGTAGCAAAAACGGCCCGTCGTGCATGAGCGAAGCAAGGTACCCTGTATGGGATAATAATCGGAGGGGGTTAATGGAACCCTCTCGGAGCCCTCTCGCGTCCCTGAGTGGGCTTTCATGGGGCCCTATGGGGCCGTCTCAGGGGCCCCAAAAGGGTTCCCAGTGAGCACTGCAAGTGATCACTTCGAACTCCACGCCGTGGAGTTGGACCAGAGGCTCACCCGGACCCCTCTTGGAACCCTCTTGTGGCTTTCTTCGGGCCCTCATGGGGCTCTCCAGGGCCGTTTTGGAAGTTCCGAACGGCCCTCAAAGGGGCGTTTGAAGTTATCGTTTCGAATTCCACGTTGTGGAGTCGGACCAGGGGCGAATTGGGACCCCTTTAGAACCATCTTGCGGCTCTCTTGGGGCCCTCCTGGGGGCCGCTGGGGGCCCCCAAGAAGCCTCCCACAGGGCAGTGGAAGTTACAGCGTCGAACGCGTCCGCCGCCGTTTTTCTCGGTGGGGCAGGCTCTATAGGGGGCGCCAGGATGGCCACGCGCATGCGCCGATGTCGCGCGTCTAACAAACGAGGAAACAGAGCTTATGTGGTTACGCGTGCGGAGGGCGCCCACAGGATCTGTCCGACGGTTTCCTGGCAAACGGTGTCGGTGTATGCTTGTTGGCTTCCTACAACATCCAACTCGTGACATGTGCGATCCTTAGAGACCTGCAGGCTGCACAGGTTGCGCCCCGCGAGAATATTGTTGCCGTCGCCGGCGATTTCAAATTGCCCGCCACCCACGCCAGCACCCGCAGTCGCGGCAGAGGCTGTCGAGGCCTCGCGCCAGGCGGCGAACACCTGGAAGGCCACGCAAGATCGATCTTGGAATGTTCTCTTCTCGGCTATGACGGAGCAGGAGCTGTCCGACCCCGCGCGTTTCAACACACCTAATAGCACGACTACTATCTTGGACCGACTGTCCGTTTCGATCGCCAGGTGGGTTCCGACACAGCTACATGTTGAAGGTGAGGCAGCGTGCGATGCGGCGATTATTAATCATTAGCAACTCTCACATCGCGTGGCGGTTCCTGCGGAGTTGCACGCGCAGGTCCTTGGAGCCCCAGAGGAACGTCCTAGTCCAGAGGATCTTTTGCGACGCCGCTCTCTAAGCAGTGCGTAGCATCTTATGCCTCGTTCGACCTTTTCTCTCTCGCCCCCCCGCTGCAGCTGAAGCCCGATGGGGATATGATGCGCGAGTGCGCCAAGTTCGCGCGCCAGGCGATTCTCGCCAGCTCTCCCAACTCAAACCACTTGAAGCTCATGTTCCTCAGGACTTGTGCCCGTGTTGCGTGGCGACGGGGCAGGGGATTTGCGCGCGCGCTGACCCGTGCCCGCCAACGACGACGTAGGAACAGCCCTGGTCAAGCTGAAACATCTGCAGTGGCCAACTGGGTCGCCTGCTTGATTTTGAAGCCCGGTTGGTGCAAGGTTGCGCCCTTTGCTGGCGAGTTCCACGCCGCTCGCCGCCTGCTGCGCGCGACGCGTCTCAGGGCCCCGATCGCTGACTGGAAGGATTTCGAGGCGGTTCCAAGTCTCAAATCTCTTGGCCTCTGGTTAGGACCCGACGCCGAGGACCTCTCCTGGAAAGCGCCGCTGGCTAAATGTTCCGCCCGAGGGTTTATGCCCCCCCGCTCTCGCGCCCCTGATTCGGTGCAAGAGCATCTGTACACGACTCGAGTCGCGCCCGTCTTATGCCGCGTTGCCCAGTTTCTTCTCGGAGTGCTTGGAATGGCTTTGGGAACTGGGGGGGGGTCCAAACTTGCGACGGAGGTGGCCTCGTTTTTGGTCGCCCGTGCTCGCGCTGCCACAAATTCGTTTGCTGCCTGGCGCGTGGAACGCGCCCGTCTTGCAGCGAATGCAAGGAGCCAGCTCAGCCTCTCGGATTTTGGTCGTGGCCAGCGCTCGCCGAAGTTTTTGGAACACAATTGCCGTCTGTGACGAGGCCTTCCACGCCTCACCTGACCGCCCTCACCATGACGAAGTGGCTGGCCGACTGCTTTGTCGAGACCCGTCGAGGGCGTGATGCTCCAAAGGAGAGACTCCCTTGTCGAGACCCGTCGAGAAGCCTGACTCGATCTAAATTCAAACGTTGATTGTGTCTAGATCTAGACGCGCTGAATTCCCCGATGATTGGTCGGAGACTTGACCCGTCGTCTTCTGAATTGGTTTCTTGCCGAGATCGATGCTATTGGTGCTTCCCCCTGGGAACAGGGGCAGACGACCCCTTGCCTCGTTAGATATGCGTCACGCATGAGGTTGCATCAAGACGTGTTCCACAAGTTCGCTGGCCCAAAATCGGTTCCAGCAAGCTCAGAGGTGCAGGCGCATGCTAGGGCCTACCCAGGAACCCGACTGCATCGAGCACAATTTGGACTGCCCCGGATGTGTTCTCTTAGTTGCCCAGCTCCTCGGTTTTATGGTCCTTCCTCCCCCTTTGATCGCCTCGGCCTTTCCTCCCCGTCGCGCTCGTCAAATTAGTTCCCTGCGGCCGCGTGCCAGTCGTTCAATCGGGTGCGAAGCAAGGCCCCGCCCGCCGGCGGGCGCTGCCTCAGCGAGAGCGACGCGCAGGCCCTCTCGCTTGCCGTCCGCTTCGCTTTGAGGAGGTGGGGGAGGACGGACTCCGGCGGCGCCTTGGGGCGCGCGCTGGGAGGGAGGGGGGAGATGTAGAGGGGGGGAGGGGGTGAGGAAGGAGGCCACCCGCGCGCAGAGGGGGGCAGGGGGAGAGGACCCCTGCTTCTTAGAAGGCGAAGGCGTTATCTGTAGATTTATGGCCGGCGCCTTCTTGGAAGTAGCCCCCTTCTAACCCCCACCCACCCCCCGTGTGCCCTGCCCGCCGCCAACGAGGACGAGATAAGGAGTCGGAGCCAGAGAAGGATGACGGGTCAGGATGACGGCGAAGGACGACTACAGGGCCCGGTCAGCACTGGCCCCGCGTCTCTGCGACACCGCGCCCGCGCCCGTCGAATTTGGGCGCCGCCGCGGCGGGCCCGGGTCGACGATGATCGATCGGTTCGTCAATCCGCGACAACCGATCGACGGGCCCGCGCGGGCCCAGGTCATTCGACCAAAAGATTGAAGGAACGATTCAAACAAATAGTCGTCCCTCGTTTTGGTCGTTTGCTGCAGCCTGGCGGCCTCGACGACGACATTGACGACGACGAACCATGAATATGTAATTAATCGCCCAATTCTTGGTGGGGCACTTTCGCATTACGGGGATGTCCTTCGTGGGTCAATCGGTGGATCGATGCTTGCTGCCTGGGCCAGGCAAGCAGCGCGCCGCGAACCCGAGGACGCGGCGGTGGCCGTGACCCGCGCGCTGGGTTGCGCGGACCTGAAGAGCCCGCTGCCGCTGCTGGCCACAGGCCCGCCGCTTTTCTTAAGTTTTTTGTTCTTTTCCCCGACCCGCCCTCGAAAACCGGCCCCTGAACCTATCCATAAGTGCGGCCCGCCCAGAATTCCCAACGGATTCCAGCCCAGCAGCCTTTTGTGGGACCCCAAGCTGTGCAAAGGCGGCCCAAAGCCTAATTCGACTCTTCCGACCCCTCCTGCTCTTGGGGAAGGAACTTACAATCCATCCAACATCTGTCGTCGGACCCCTCCTGTGTAGTTTTTTTCTAGCGGCGCCCAGCCCTGGCGACGACAGCATCTAGGAACGCCCGAAAGATAACCGAAGAGAGGACGACAACGACCTCAAAGCCCTTGTTTTTCTTCATGGTTACCCCCCCGTCCCCTAGCACGCGCCTCGCGCGAGAGCCGAGGCAGATTCCCCCCATCGGTCCTGGATCCTCGAACGTCCCAGTCTTTTCCCCATCCAACTCATTGGATCCTCGAGCATCCCCCCTCCTCGAAGCTCCTCGCCACGCGGATGACGGGAAGCGGCTTCCTGGAACCAGAAAGTGATTAGAATTTGTCAGAGGAGTAACGAGTATATAGAAAAGACATACGCGAGTGACAATTGTTTCGGGGTCGCAAAATGTTCCCCGTTCGGCGGATGACGGAAAGCCTCCTTGAGGAACGAGAAACGAACCAGACGATCTTGTTAATTCGGACCATATCGAACCATCTGTATCTATATGCCGTGACCGACCGCACGGGGCAATTCATTGGCGGATGACGTACGGGGACTGCGAGGAATTCGAAGGAAAAGGATCTTTTACAATCTTACATATAAAGAACGTAAGCGATATACCGTGGCCAGATGCATTATTCTGAAGTTGGGAACGCTGATTGTTGGGATGTTCTGCGGAAGTGGGCGTTCCGCTTGAGACATGTTCGAACACATAGGATGTCGACCGAGCTTCAGGTGTGTCTCCAATTTTAACTCGCATTTGCTTGTAACTGGAAGCGATTTGAGGAACTCGAAGGATAAGGGAAGGACGTGTTGCATTGTTCATTCAAAGCGTGACAGGGCAGGAAGTTAAACGCTATACCTTGGCTGGTCGCATCTGATTTCCTGTTGGGGGTGACGAGAAGCGTTTTCGATCATTGAGAAGCGTGTGTGTGTGTGTGTGTGTGTGTGTGTGTGTATGTGTGTGTGTGTTTGGCGTTCGGTCTGAATTTGTGGCCTGTCTCAACAAATATGCAATTATATACCGTGGGGCTACTCGTTGGGCTATACGTTGGGCCACTGGCTCCTCGTGCTATACATTTGATTCAGTAATTCGCCTGAGGTATTCAGCAACATATGGGCTGTCGCAGCACCAGTTTTTACATTCACAATGTTTGAAGACGCGAGCTTAGGGTATCTGGGCACATCGGCTTGTCGCTTGAAACAACCTCGACATAATAGGATGTCGACAGAGGTGCGCGACTGCCTCCCATATGAACAACGACGCTCTCGCTTGGGACGTCCTCAGAAACAAAGCACCAGCACGTCAGCCCAACATTGCTGTCTGTGTTGACGTCGTTGATAAAACAAAGGGCCCATGTCGTTCGGGACACCCTCACAAAACTGATGTGTTTTAGACATCGCCTTGGTATCGCGTTGAAGTTTTCGGGAAGAAACAAGTGTCTAAAAAGACACTTGGTGTGCTCCAAAAGCGCTTTCAGGACTCCTGAACATGATAATTTCGCTATAATTACCTTCCTGAAGCTGAAGCCTCTCGAGGGAAGACAGTGTTTTGACTCAAGAGGTTGACTCCCCACTGAAGCGGATGGGCGACGATGAAGGACGGAGGCCCGTTAAAGTTGCCAAAATTGAGACGCCCATGCACGCTGAAGAGGAAACGATCCCTTTAGACATTTCAATTCCAGATGCGCCCGTTGATGCACCGTGGGGAGGTGCTTCCTCGAGCTCTGGTGCCGCAAATGGCGCTCCGAGCGGAAATGCTGCCCGTAATTATCCCACCGCCGGCACAGCCGGGGGTTGGGGAGCGCGGTCTGGATCTGGATCCGGCGGCGGAAACAACGAACAGAACCTTCATGCACCCCACGGGGGTGGAAGTGGAGGTTTACCTCCTGATCGGGACCCACCTGAACCTCCTCGCTCGGAAGGACTGGGTGGCGAGTCCGATCCGTCCTATTTGGCCCGTGGAATCTGGAATGTGCTGCAACACAAGGAGCAAACAGGGGCCGGCACAGCCGCACCCCTGAAGGACGGCGAAATGCTAGATGAATGGGCTCGTTGTATTAAAGAGGTAGTCGCGTTGTACGCTGACGTAGTCGACCCTTCCCTTCAGATTTCGCTGGGATGGCTTAATTATCAGGAGATGTGTGAGGCCATTACGAAATTGGCAGAGGTGCGTGGCCATGGGTGGATTCCCTACAGTGGTGAGGAACTGGCCGCCATGGTGCGGACCGGCAGACCCCCGCGGGATTTCTTCCGCCCCTTGGCACAAACATTTAACAAAGGATACACATTCTGGGGCGTTGTCATTCATGTTGTTTCCGATTCGACGTGTAAGTTCAGAAAGTCACTAGATGAGAGGCTTGGCGGTTCCGCGAGCCCGCAATGGCGCATGAGGAGTAGTCTTCGGGGAACGGACGTAGATACTCAAAGCGGCGTATGCGGACCAACGCTCCTGCAGCGCATGATGAAACAGGATTTGTGGAATAATAAGGTATCCAATCACATGGGAAGTTTCATCCTGGGCCAACACACACCACTACAATACGTAGTTTGGTCCATGAACGACATTTCTGACGGAAACAAATGCAACATCATGGGGCTGCCCTGAACGAAGAAGAATATGCGGAGCCTCAAGTGTTGATAGCATTGCTTGGTCCATTCTGTGAAACAGCCGAGAGAATTCTCGATGAGGCGGTAAAGCGTTCCAAGACAGGAGCCATACATATTTTACGTCGGCGGAGATCACTGATGTTGGCAATCGGAGAGTGGTACATTCAAAATGAACGCCATGTGGGATGCCATTGCCACCTTACTGCGGGCGCGCATGCATCGGCGCATTGGACGATGCAAGGCTGCAGTCAGCCTAAACACATATATCTGGACGGCGCATGCTTGCATCGGAAATTGCATTACACCCCGAATGCTACGTACCATTTCGATGGTAAACATGAATCGTACAAATTGGACAGATATGGTACAATGGTCGAGGTTCCAGGGGGTGAAATAATGGCCGACCATATGATGAAAGCAGCACAGCTTTTGGCCCGGTTCTTCTGTCAGCCCTCTGGCGGCCCCAGGGGTGGGTATGCGAGAACGAGCTGCGAGCAGACGGATTTGCGAAGATAGAAGCTACCTATGAGGAGCACGTCTCGTATTGGACCAACTGGTGTCCTACCGTGGACGGTACTCCGACTTCCATATTGGGAACGCTCCTTTTCGCTAAACCACTTGCGACATTCCCTGCCGCTGCGACAGGGGCAGGATAAGGGGGCGCGGCATTCTTTGTTCTCACCAGAGCGAAGTGCTTTTATTTCGAAGGAGAATGGGCGTGATAAGCACTCACATTGGAGCGTTCCTTGAGAGGGGCTTGCCTTGCATTCCTGGCGCGCCTCCTGAGGGTCGAGACATGCGTCGTACTGGAGAAAACTCCTTCATTGATCAGTTTATGCAACAAACGATAAATGCCTTGGAGACATCTCGACCAATTCTTCTGCCCCCCGCTCAGTCTGCCAAACGGACAGCGCGGCGAACCTCGGGGCGCAGCCCGTGACGAGGCAAGACGACCAATTGCAGGTCAGCCCCGCTGGAGCGGTTTCGACTGCTAGCCTTGCCGGAAAAGTCGCGCGAAGTCCGAGCGACGCAGGGGGTCTTGTTGGACTTGGCGCAGCCGAGATTTCAACCAAGAACCGGGCACGCTCAGCGGCACCTGTTAGAGTACTAACCGCTGTTTCCCCCACGGCGCATTGTGATAAAGCAATAAAATAGAAGCGCCTTGAGTACGCATCGCCAACACTGGGCAAGAAAAAGCGGACATGTCCTCCAGTCGGGCTCGATGGCGTTCGCAGATGGCCTGTCAGATTGTCCCATCGGACGACGGTTGGAGTGACTGATGGAGCTGGTGGCGGGTCTACAAGAATCATCTCCCTGAAGCCCTTGAATGCTGGAGAGTTGGCTAAACGCCTCTACAACAAGAATAATTTGTGGCCAGGAGAAGATCATGACGAGTTGTTGCGAAAGATAAGGAACAATGACACATTCGTGCATAGCGAAGCTTACGATCGGTTGCGCGTTGCATCGCACGGTGACGCGTGGTTGGCAGATCAGTTGCTTCATGACAGTGCGAAACGGCCGGTTCTGTTTGCAGAATATGCGATTCCGAATTGAGCAACATTCTTCATTGCGCGACGCGACCGCGCGGCGCCCGGGGAACCGAGGGCGATTGTCGACCGCGCCATGTGGGAAACAGCAGCAGCCGTAGAGCATGCAAAGAAGGGGCAACGTGCACAATTAGCGCTGCCTCTTAAAGCAAAAGAGGATAAACTGGCAGAGTTGATTTCGGGTCGCAATTCGGCTAGGCAGTCGCACGGAGCATCCGTTGGGGCGTTCCACTGAATTCACGAACGATACCAGCCCTTTCCTTCCGACCCAGAGTATTGGGGAAACGTGAAGAAGACGAACGTCGGGATATATTCTGTTGCATTTCCAGAAAATCCCCCTTCAACCCACTTGCGGCGCACGATGGCGGAAGAGACTTTCAACGATGGATATTGGAACTCTGCGGGGAACGAATTTAGGAGTTGTCCGAAATCCGTTACTGGCGATGGTGGCCCAACAGAGCAATGCACCAAGAACACAGCTTCAGTAGTAATTACTGAGATACGCATTTACCATTGGTACCCCGCCGCGCGCCATGCGCACATGCGTGGCGATTGGACAATATTGCGACACTTGCTGGACGAAGGCGAAGCTGTCGATCAATATTTCAACGTTGAACGGTTGAGGAGCAAAGAGAGA